GGACCTAAGCAAGGGACAGTACCTAGGCAAAGACATGCCCAAATTCTTCCTGAGTCTTTGGTGAATCTCAATAAGTTAGGTGTCCTCTAAGAATGCCTAAATCAGGTTACATTACAGTCCAACCAGTTGTGATGGTATTATGTTTCTGGACATACAACCTGGTGGGTAGAACTCTCCCTGAATACAGGGAGATCATTGGAGATGGTGGGAGAAGATCTCGACTCACAATCCTTCCTGCAAAACTGCCTTTCACTATGTCCATAAAATGTTGGGAGAATATGCATTGTGATAAAGTTAGGGTGCTAATACACAAAATATCATGGATTTCAGAGAGACAGAGGGAAAGAAATAATTTTACATTTGTTAAAGAAGGACATGATCCTCAAAATGGAGATTCCTGAGTCCTTATTCTCTTTCAAATAATGGTAGAAAATATATTACTCATTTAGGAATTATGAGACAAGATGTATAACAAACACTGGGTTTAAGAAAGAGTATCAAGGATTATTAGCCAGTTAGTGAATAGCACTGATAAACTTGTACAGAAGAAGGAAGTTTTAAGACATTTAACCCCCCCAGATATTTAATTAAAGGTTTTCCCCTGTGCATTTTAGATTGATTTTTAGATTTTGAATAATTCTTAAACTGAGATTTTGCAGGAGTAAATGAAACTGTTTGCTTGTGAATTAACTCACAGCAGCACTAATTAGGTTTCCCAAATGTAGAATATGGACTAAACTCAACTCTTATATTACCAGTGGGAGTTTGGACATTGATCTGCTGGTGTATAGCTCCAGCAACATAGTCTTAGGAGTTTGTGACTGCATTTATACTTTTGTGCTTGGACCGAGTGGCAAGAGGTGTCTTGTATAGGGTCAGAGCCTTGCAGAGGAACATAGGCTGTGCACTCGTGATTTTGTGATGAAGTTACTATTTTTTTAAGTTCTTGCAAATAAAAAATTCTAACAATGCTTACACTTCAGAAGCTATTTGGTTCTTTCCCCACCTTCTGGAACATTTTTTGAGAAGTTCAGCTCATACTACATCGTGATGTACAAAGTGTAGTTCTTCCTTGTGCTATCTTAAATTAGGTGGAAGTTTAGCTATACAGAGATGTGACCATGGAATGAGTTAGTGGGAATGTACATGTGCTCTACAGTGAATCTGTTCATCTCTCTTGCACTGAATGGGAAGTCACCTCAAACGACTTTGTGTTGGAAAAAATTTAGGGTATGCACATAGATTGATGCTTTGAAGCTGTTCACATCTTACCTACCTCATGCATATTGCACCTGAACTCATTATGTAATCTTCAGGGTCACCAGTTTTGTGTGTATGTGGAATTAAGCAATTCTGCTCAGTTTGTCTGAAATTCAAATGAATTGGAGATTCTACAAAGAAGTAAATAGGCAGAAATTTAAACAGGATTAAAAAATGCACAGTACAGTGATCCTGAGATAAATTGAACTCTTTCAAACCATAATTTCTGGAACCTGAAGGAAAATCTTATTCCCTTTCACTAGCCAGAGGTATCTTCTCTTTGGCAGCAGGCTCTGATTTCTCGTCATATGGGGATAGTGTGTATGATCTACTCAGATATTATTGATCACCAGAGTTCACTCTCATATGCTCTCTCTAGATATGAATGTTGTTCAGCACAGCAGAGCATACACTTCAGTTGCATTTTGCATTCTGTGTATTGAACTAAGTGTCTTTGGGAATAGTTTTTAATAATATATTCAAAGATGTTCCTTCTGCAGCCTTTGTAATATAAAAGCAATTTATCATTACAGACAAATATTTTTTCTCAAAAACATTGTATTTATGTGATATATTGGATGAAGTTTTGCAATACATTTATATTTTTATTGAGAAATTACTTGAGAATGAGCATGTGTTGAGAATGGGCAGGATAGTAACTTTGCATGTACATTGAGCACTGCATGCAGAATTCAAATGGATGGATAAAACATCTGAACTGAAATTGAATCAATATAAAAACCCCATTTTGAATATAAATAAGTTATACAAATAAATTTGGAAACTCTAATATCAGCAACCCGGGAACAGTATTTCTCACATTTTCTTAAAGAGCTATGAGCAGAAACCTAAAACAAATTAGGACTGTATTCAGAGAACCTGAATTCTATCTGCCTCTCTAATCATATTTGGATTTCTTACTGTAACGATAGCACTCAAGTTCTATAGCACAATTTTGGCCATCTGAATTTGAACTATTTGTGACATTTTCTACCTGCAACATGTTCCACTTTGTCATGATCTGTCTGTATTTTTGATTGAGTCTGCTGCCTTTCTGCTGCTTACTTTGCTTCTCTCTTTAATTTTTTCTGCTCTTGACTCTTGACAGTTACCTGTGTGAGCTGCTGCCATGTTTTCTGCCACCCATGGCATTGCCAGCTTGTCTTTGCTTATACAAGCTAAATGAGAAGTCTGCATTGTAATTAGAAAACATGATTTCAAATCAGCTTTCAGGACTGCCCATTACTAGCTGAGAGGTTCCTGTGAATAGAAGCCTGAGCATCTGAATAGTCTGTGTCACATTTAACAGCAAGTAATTTCCAATATATGGCAGGCAGATGTGTAATCAGAGTGGACAGGAAGAAATGTCCATACTGCGAACAATTCGAAATTTTGGTGTGTACCTGTCATACATCTTTTGGGCAGGACATCATGCAACACATTAAGGATGGGCAACAACAATGGGATTTCCCACCTTTTCTTTACCTACAAAGACTTTGTTTTTAAAACACGCTGGAGTTTGGTACTGGGCATAACCTGCATGATGCTGGGGGCGGGGAGCTGCTGGAGTGAAAAAACCACCCAAATGGGAACTGAGCAGAGGACTTGGGAGAGTTATGTCTCTGGCAGAACTGTGGCAGTGCAGGAGCCCATACCAGAGCAGTGGAACCACCAAAGAAGAGAAACCACAACGTGTTGATCCCAATCCCCTGCAACGTCCACTGCAGATGTAGTGTGTGGGCTTGGGATTTGAGACAAGAAGGGGAAGGAATGGTGTCTGGAGAGGAGTCCCCGTGTAGTTTGTTTGCCTGTTTCTATTTTTCGATAGCAGAATCAGTAATTTAAAGTTTGTTAGTTGGGCATTAAGTAAAATTCCCTGAGGCAAAACTTGTTTTCTAGCCAGCAACAGACTTTATCTGAATAGTCACAGTGTTTCTGTCTGTTCTCAAAACATTTGGTACAGGTCTTAAAAGAAGAGTTGCTGAAGTAAGACAAGTGAAATAGCCTTCTCCAATGAGGTGGCTAGCTTGATGGATGAGGAGTGAGCAGAGGATGTAATTTATCTCTATTTTATTGAGGCTTTTGCCACTATTTTGCATGGTGTCATCATAGACAAAGTATGGGTTAGGTAAGCAGGCATTGGGGTGGACTGAAAACTGGCTGGGTGGCTGGGCCTAGGGGTTGTGTTCTGCGGCACAAAGCCCATCTGGAGGCAGTTCACTAGTGGTATATCCCATGGGTTAATAGTGGGTCCAAGTCCTGTTCAAGGACTTCATTGATGACCTGGAAAGTGAGACAGAGCTGCATAGGATATGGATATTTTGCTGTATAGGATATGATCTGTTAGGGTATCTGAGGTGTTTGAGATAACTGAGGTGCGTCATTCTTTGATGCCTATCTGTCCCCTCGTCATTACAGTGGGAAACCAGGAGATCACCTCAGACTATCTGTCCAGCTTCAACACCTTAAATTTGGTGACATGAAGTCTACATGAATTTTCTAGTTTCTCATGTCATATTTCACTCTGAGCCGGAAGCTGAGCCGATTACGAATGTTTCTTTGATACAGTACATACAGAGAAAGCTCATAAAAGAAGCAGTCGTATCTTCTATTAATAATTCTTTATTGCAGTTGACCTCTGCTGCTGTGGTTTTAAGAAAGGATGCCCTTGATACCTCTCATTTTTGTTAGCTAAACTTTTTATCATAGAAACTGGTAAGAAAAGTAATTAAATTTACCAGAGGTTACTCTTATTTCATAATTCTTTGCAGTTAAAAGCCACAGAGAGAACACTAGAAATTAATTAGGTTTATTGCCTCCTAAAGAAGATACATGTCTTTTCACTTTAATATAAACTTGTATGTCCGCCAGACATTTCTAATAATTCATAATGTCTTCAAGGATAAGATGACAGCTTTTTAATTCTTTTCAAAAAATAATTTAAAATTGCCCTTCATGGTGCAAATTCTTACACTTACAATATTTAATACAGAGAATACAAATTTTCTTAATTGTGGTGATGGTTTCTCTTCAGGTTTTTCATGAATCTATTCCTGTCTTCCCTCCACAATGGCTTCTTTTAGTTGTCTGTCCTTTAGTTTTGAATGGAACTTATAGAAATGTTAACCTGGCTCCTTTAGGGACTACCGTTGAAATCATCGAGCTCACTTTCATTGTCTCCAGTTGGTGACAAATGACAATTTCATTTAGCAAGGGATGGTTCTCTTTGAGGTTGGATTGATGGATGAGGGCATAAGAGGTTGGGCTGGCTGACAAGGTTGCCCTGACCAGCTATCCACACATCCCTGCTGCCTGGGTGTCTGTGCTGCTTGTCAGTTGGCTTTTGAGCCGCTGCTGTTTACTGTGCAGTGTTTTATGGCAGACGGTAATCAGTGATGGCTGGCTTGACTTTAAAATGCCGTGCTGCAAATGGTGGTGGTTCCAAAACTCACTGCTGAGCAGCAAAGGCATCTGTGCAGTAAAGGCAGGCTGGACAGCTAGGGGCACAAGTGTCAGTTGTCTCAAGTAAAGCCAACCCTTTCTGATATTCAGGAGTCCTTTATTTTATCTTTGCTTTTATTTTTGTGTGTATGTGTGTTTTGGTTTGGTTTAGGTTATAATCAGCCTGCTGTCAAAGAACCTCAGGTTTGTAGTGTTTTTGAATGGGAATGTAAGGAACTACAGAAATGTTTTGAGATTTCACTACAAAACCCTAAAGTTTTTCTAATTCTTGACTGTAGGCTGGAGCAAACGTCCTGCTGCAAGATGTTAATGGAAATATTGCACTTGATTATGCCATAGAAGGGACTGAATCTAGCAGCATCCTTCTGATGTACCTGGAAGAAAATGGTAAGTCAGCTCTTCAGCTTCTGAAATGCTTTCACTGAACATGACATTCATAGTAACATGCTAGAATGTGAATTCAGTATAAATTTAAAGCAGAAAACCTGCAGTAATGAGAGATGTATATGAAACTGTATTACTTATTCCAAAACAAATTAGGATTTTGTTTTTTATCGTGAAGGTACTGTAGCTAGATTTCTATCATGAAGTATGCTTAATGTGTTACAGATGATAGGACAGGTATTGAAAAAAAATATTGACCGGTTATTCACCAGCTCCAAACTTAGGTAAGGGTTCTGAAGTGAAATTTCTAGCATTGCTTTTGACTATAATAGGTTACGTTTAGTACTGTATGTGGTTCATCATAACACTGAGGAAAATGTATTAAGCAGAAATAATGAACTGTAATGTAAAGATTTGTCATTTCAACATTACCTACATGTAAGAAATCTGTTTTAACATAAGCAAGTTAAGTTACATCCTGTTAATGAGCACTTAAAAGGGAAAATTTAGAATTGCAAGGAAAGCACACTGAGTGTCAGGTCCATAGCAAATCCAGTATATTACACAGGTGTGTTTTATAATTTTGATTCTTTGGTGCCTGGTAATATCTCCACAGCTCATGAACTCTGGTTTTGGATTTTTCTAATGGCAAGACAAATATTAGCTTCTAAAAACTTGGTTGTCTTGCAAAATCCAGGCATTTGGAGTCTGAATTCTCCAAATACTTTGACTGAGGTAAAAGTAACATGTAGATTCAGGCAAGGATTTAGCATACAATTGCTTACTTGCATTTCTTATTAATGCAGATTTATCAGGAAATGCTGCATCTTTCCTTGATTTGTCTCTCTTTTTGTTTGGTTGCAAAATGAAATAGATTGGAGGTGGGTGGGGAAGAAAAGATTTGCTAGTTTCTTGGCAAAATGCTTGCAATGAAAGAACTTATATGGAACAGTGGATTTTTAAGACTCTAATGTCATCAATGTTATATCTTTTCCAGTAGATAGGAGAGGCACCATTTCTCATTAAACAATGATTATGTGAATGTGGGAAGTTTCCAAGGGAAAAAAACTAAAAATTATGAAGGTGAAATCTACCTCTATTAGCTTCCGACAGCTAAGCCTGAGCTAGTCATCTAGATCTTTTTGTCTACACAGGGAAATGGGAAATACACGTATCATTGCAGCTCTTCCTAACCTGTCTAGGTGAAGAAAACTGATTTCCAGGTCTGTTTCTTTCTGCTGACTAATAAGAATTTAAGTTGACAAGCAGTAGTTTATCAGTCTTAGTTTTAGACTGTTGGGGTAGATCAAACCTACCCTTAATTGCAATACTGTGAGAAAACCTGGCCTTTGGGTGATCAGTGACAAAATATCCATCAACTTTACTTGTTCTGTTACTATTCTTGTAACATCAGGCAGCTCAAAGTACCCTTATTTTACACTTAGATTTTAAAATTTAATTAATATCTTCTGAAATATTTATATAGCCTACTATGGTTAATAGTACTTGAGGGGGGAATCCTTGAAGGCTATAAAGCTGCCTGGGTAAGTATGAATTACTTCAAATTGCCTAGACTAGACATTTCTCTGTGGGTTACTTTTGTGAAGCCCTTGTCATTGGAGCAATCCCCATGTACACCTGCATATGCACACCCCACTACAGAGCAATGGCATGGTCAAAAATCTTGCACAAGGACATTAGCTGAGCCTGTAGTAAATATTATCTTCAGCCTGTAGTGTTGTAAAACATCCATCTAGAGTCTCACCCTTTAAATACAACGTGTAAGCCACAGTTCTGTATTCTCTATACTTCCCTTCATTCCCCAAAATTTTAATATTGTCCATTCAGTTGTGCAGCCTGGTTTAAAATGTTAAGAAGAGATGGCTGTGTAAAACAGTCTATAATTGCCTCTAATTGCAGAGTTCATACAGAAGAATAAAATCAGGTGCCTTATGGCTCAATTAACAAGAAAACAAGAAGCTATCACAAAGCAAGATTGGAACAAGTAGCTTGGATGCTACAGAGAGATATGTTAATTGGAGACATTGAAGTTCTTAGAAGTCTTGTGTGTTTATAATTTCCTACAGATTTCATCACTGTTGTAGTTCACTCTAACTACACTACAAGTCTTAGTGAGTGAACTCCCTCTTCATCATCAAAGATAACCTAATTTACTCTTTGAAAGGCCTGGAGCCATAGGTGATAACAATAGCCTTAGATATATTTAATGATTCATGTATTTTAGAACATTTTTACTTATTTACTGAAGTTAGTTCTTAAGAGTTCTGTTTGTAAATAATCTGTTAGGGCACAGGATGATCACAAGTACAAAGTAAAGTTAATACTCTACCAATCGCCTGAAAGCTTTCACACCATACTTTATTGTCATGGAATACAGCTCATCAGGATATTATATGGATATTGTGTTGCTGAAGTCTACGTGAAATTCTATGTATTTGATTAAAACATTCTCTTTCCCTGTACAGAAATCAGCTTTCTCTGATGTCATATTACGTAACTGATGTTACGTTGTACATTGAAATTAATTATTGACCAAAGAAAACCATAAGCACACTTGATCTACCGAAGAGAAAACAAACTGAGATACATATCCTCCACATATTAAGAGCATCCTTTATGTTGGGTAATAGTTCTAGTACACTGTTAGCTTCATTTAATGTATCCCTAATCAAGGATGAGAGGGAAGATAAAGCATTCAATTTCGTATTTAGAAAAGTGGTAGAAATAGCTTAACTGTATGATATTTAATTATGTCCTAGGAGCACTCAGAAGCCCAGTATGCCCCTGAGTTCCAAACTTTGTTGAGGTTGATTTATCTAAATAAAATGTCTGTTAGCCTATCTATAGCAAACGCTCCTTAGAGCAGAAGAGACACTTCAGGGATCTGTAATGGATCATCTGAGTTATGAGCTACATGCTTCTTTCCAAGTGCTATGAAGGGAGCCCAGAATGGCTAGCTGAGATACAGAAGCCTGGTACCTAGGATGGGTTTCATTTTAAGGGTCTAATATTTAAATTTATGTGTCTGTGTATAGGTGCTTATACATTAGCCTTGGTGTCTAAATTCCTGTTACCATTAGTGGAGCTCTAGGAAGTACTGTCGCTAGGGAGCAGAAGGGTTACACATCTGACCAGGCACTAGGAAAAGACTGCTAAGCATGTTAAATTTGTTCTGTGCCAAGATATCATTGACTTTGCATGTTAATGGTCTTCTTATTTTGCTATGAAAAGAAAGTCATGACATTTAAGGACTTTGAAAAACAAGATAGGGAGACTACCTGCTGCAACGTTTTGCCAAGACAGGGCCAACTGAGAGTAGCTCAGGTTACCCAGGGTCATACTGAGTTGGAAATTCTATGATCTCTCTGGGCTCCCATTCCAATGTTGCACCCTCTTCATGTCATGTTTTTTCTTGTTTTCTGTTGAAATTTTCTTTGTTGTAGCTGAAACCTGTAGCCTCGTGTCCTTTTGTTGTTTGCCTCAAAGAAATGTCACCCTCCAGAGATGAAATGAAAACATAAGGAAGTGTAAAAAGGGCATATTTTTTTCCCCACTATTTGTCCTGTTTTATTCCAAATCTAGTTGATTATTAGAATAATCGAGAAAATCCACCTGGCACTTTCCTTAAACTTTATTTAGATTAAAATCAGCTTTATGTTTTAAGGCAAAACTTTTAAAAATATCAAACATTAAGTGACTTCTAGTGTACTCTGTTTTTAGAGGCTGAATGTTCTACTGTAGAAATGTGTCAGTGGAATTCTGATTATGGTGGATGATCCTTATGCTTCCTCCTTTTCCTTTAGGCTGTTTTAAATATTTAATGCTTTGAAGAATGCAACATTTTTGTTTACTATCTTTCTTGGTATTTAGTAGCGTAGTGGATTAGATGACTCAGATGTAAACTACAGATATTTCTTAGCTTTGTATTTTACAATTGTCAGGATGTGACACATTCACTTTAATTTGTTTCCAAAAAAGAGAGGTACTTCCTTTTGTCCTCCAGCATAGAATCATAGAATCATAGAATGGCCTAGGCTGGAAGGGACTTTAGAGATCATTTAATCCAACCTCTCTGTCATGGGCAGAGACCTCTCTCAACTAGATCAGGCAACACATGGGGATAGAATGGGGACGGAACCCATGACCTTGGTGTTATCAGCACCATGCTCTAACTGAACATCTCAGGCTTCAGCTTTTACTGGGATAACTGTGCATTCCAGGAACATCAGCTTTGTTGTTTAAGCTGAGAAAACAGTATCTGGATATTTACTGCTTTTTTTTTTTTTTTTCCTTAGAGCTGTCTAAGTAACCTACACATCCGAAAGCAAAATAATATCTTTCTTGTCTGTTGTATAATGGGAGTTTAGGCTCTAGCATATTATTGCAAAACCAGAGGAAAACCATCTGTTATGATATTTTTTTAACAATGACTAAATTCAAATAACATGCCTACCTGAAGTTTTAGATGGCTTTTCTTTTTCTACTATGAAACAGGTACAGAAAAATAAAGAGAAAAGGTTATTTTGTTTCTTGCAAATTATTCTTTTTGTTTAGAAGTTTTTGACCTTTGATGGTAGTTGAAATTTCATGTACTTAATCAAAATACTTTATAGTATTGCAAGCTATGTGAATAAAATATCTGTTTTGTTCTCTGAATATTAAGGGGATCATATTAAGGTGTCTCAGAAAACTGTGTACATAGCTCCAAAATCATGTGCAAGTCGTATCCATTTAGGGAGGTTTTTAATGTTTTAAACTAGTCAAAATATTATGCAGATTTCACAAAAAGAGACCATGGCTTATTAAATTCTTACTAGCAAATGGATTAAGCCTTACTTTTCAGCTGCGAAGTGGATAGAATAAATTTCTTTTTCTGCCTTGCAGCAGTAGGTGGAGGAAAAACAAATAGAACCCAAGAGCACAGGATCCTACACTGAAGACAGTGTTTACCATGAGCCAGAAACAGTCAGCTCATAACTTAC